GGGGGGGGAGGTCAATTTGCATTTAAACAGTTAGCTCCCATCCGACAATAGAGATAAGGGGAAAATAACATTCAAATGGTAAAGACATAAATATTTGGGAGACAGGCGCTTTGTAACCTGTGAGCCGCCCGGAGCCCCCCCGCCTCCAGACGTGACGGAGAGGGGAGGCTCTGCCCGCCGCGAAAGAGCAGAGCAAATACACCATTTACTTTGTGTATTGAGGGCTCTTGTGAAAGGCCCTGAAGAGTCCTTTACCAAACACTCACAAACTTCTCCCACGTGCCGTTTGTTGACTAAGAGTGGCCTTTTCTTTTTTTTTTTTTTAAAAAGACTCGACAGAAGAGCCGGGGGGTGGGTGAGGCCCTCTCCGCGGAGCCCGGTGCGGGGCAGCGCCCGCAGCAGCCTTGTCCCCCTGCAGCCGAGGGGCTCCCCCCCTCCCCATGCACAGGGACCCCTTCACTAGCTGCCAGAAACCCGAGGAGGAAAGTAAGTAAATGACTTTGCTGCTCTGACCACACACCACAAGTACATTTGTTGAATGCCGGACTATTAAGACACACCTCAGTAAACTCTAAAGCAACCCCTCCGCGCATGCATTTAAGGTTACACTGGGAGCACCAGTCCTAGCTCAGGGTGTCCCAATCGGTTATGGCGAGTGGTCCGGGGAGGAGGAGGGGAGGGGAGGAAAGGGGAGGGGAGGAAAGGGGGGGACAGCACAGGGAGGGGGAAAAAAAAGAAGAGAAAGGGGGAAAGAAAGGGAAGAAGGAGAAGGGACAGGAAAAAGAAATTCCAAGAGCCACCGAGGAAAGGAGAGAGTATGAACGCGCAAAGCATAAAATGAAGTCGTAGCCGCATACACTTGACTTCTCTTGACATGTGAAAAGTGCTAAAAGTCAAAGCTCATCAATAAAGTATCTTGAAATTGAATAAGAGCCCTGACAACCATTGCATTCTTAAATAAAGTACAATGAGGAGACAAACGACTCTGCCAAGGAGTTTGCATGTGAGTGAAAGGGCGCCTCAATGGGAGCGGGATAATGGGCTGCCCGGCCGTCATGCACTGTCATCTCCAGTCCTGCCGGGAGCTGCCACCGCTCCCTAATAGCACAAAATGGGCTCTTAAGAGACTGCTGCCTTTCCCTCGGCGGGCTTCTCTCCTTCCCCTCGCCAGCTTGCCTCGGTGCTGATCGCCTCCAACGCGGGGATCATTTTTTTTGGGAGGCAGGGGTTAACCGCAGGCGTTTCTCCCACGTCTCTGCCTGCACGCCGGGGCTGGCCGAGCACAAAGTCCCTTCGCGGCGGCTGGCGCGCAGCTGCCCGC